CGCCCCCCGGCCGGGCCTGCCACTCTTTGCCGGGGGTCCCCGCTCGCCCCCGCTCTCCAAGGGAACGTTCCTGTGGGCGTCTCCTCCGCTGTTTGCACCCCGGCTCACGGGACGGGCCGTTCGTGGTGGGCGGAGGGTGCGTGGCCACTGAGGAGCCTTTCAGCCCTTTGCTCGGCCCAGGAAGACCAGGAGAGGCGGAGGGACGAGGGAAGCAGAGTGAAGGGCTACCCCCCAAACCAGAAGTTGGGGGGGCTTCAGTTGCGCGAGAGTGGAGGGGCCCAGCAGCCTGCGGTGGGTCGCCGCGGAAGGAGCCCACTGCTCTCCGCTGGGCAGGAAGAGCAGCTCCTGGCCGGAGAGTGGAGCAAAGGGTATTGTTGGCGGAGCAGGCTTGGCTGGCGGCAGTGAGACACAGGCAGCGCCCAGCTGGAGAGAGTCGTTCTGCTTTGGGTGATGCTTCAAGCAGACTCAGCTGCTATACTTATCACATTTTATTAAACACAGGGAAGCGTTTAGGAGAAGAGCAGAGAGCCAAACCTGACCTAACTGTAAAGGCCCAAGGTCAGACAGGCTGGAATTCCACCCCTAGGGGCCACATTAAAGAATTCTCCTATGTAAAAGGTAGGTCAGAGTCCAGTTCCTCCCCCGCCCAGCCCAGGCCCCTTCCCGACCCCCCACCCCCACGGAGCCTTACAACACCTCAGTTTGCGCCAGCTGGCCTGCCCTGTCCCTGGCGGCGGCCTGTGTCCAGGGGAAGCGCGTCTGGCAAACCGCTCAGAGTCCTTCAGACGGAAAGAGATGCCGACGTGGAGGGGAGTAAGGAGCCCAGGACGTATTTATGACAGGTCCACGGGGCCCGGGGGTGGACGGGAGAGGCCCGGTGATCTACATGTCCGTGAGGAACGCACAGCACCCACCGGAAGACGGGAGGTTCGTTTGTGGCAAGAAGCGGGCCCTACGCTCAGTGCTTGAAAGACTGGACGGCGACTTCTGGGAACACCACCACTCCCAGAACCACAGTGATGAGAGCCAATACGGAAGCCAGCGCGTCCCTGAAGGCGTCCGCCCATGCCCAGCAGCGCACGCCCCAAACACCAGGAGAGCCCTGTCCCTGCTCTGACGAGGACGAGGGCGCCGGCTGCGCCCTCTGTGCTGTGACCCCCCTGCCTTACAGGCTCAAGTTCGGATCCACTGGCCACGTGGAGGGGCTTCCGCTGAAAAGTGTAGCTTCAGCTCCGCCCTCCTCCCCTCGCCCCTCCCCCCATGTGGGAAACACAAAGTAAACAGGAAACCTACTTTTTATGTGCTATGCAAAACAGACATCGTTAACATAGTCCCGTTACTATGGTAACACTTTGCTTTCTGAATTGGGAGAGAGAAAAAATGTAGTCACAGCATTGATGGTTCTCGAAGCTCCAGTGAATACTTGCAAACACGAGCCGTCACAGAAATGACCCTTCTGTTTCCTGAACCTCAAAATGATGTCGGTCCAAAGTGCGTGTGTGTGTGAGTGGGTGCGCGGTTCCATGTGTGCATGTATGTATGTATGATATATACCGCCAATATATATTATATATATCTCGTGGCTCCGTGGCGGGTTGCCATGGTGACCAGCACAGCACATATGTGATTCTCTTCCATCACCCCCACCTCTCTGTCTGCGTCTTCATGCAAGATTTTCTTGCAAGCCGCCGAGCATTACCTGTAGGAGGGGAAGAGGGCCACGGGGGAGTGGGAACTAGTCTGGTTGGGGTGGAATGGAATGGTCGTGCCGTCGGTCGGCGACGTTTTGGTGATGAGCTAAACTGTGAAAAATCAGATGACTCGAGGACGAGTTGCCCGCAGCCAGTGGAGAAGTGTCCTGCGCGTGTTTGGTGTCTGGTGCAAAAATGACAATCTACCAACTGTCCCTTTATTTGAAGTTGGTTCAGCTTTGAAAGTTACTGTAAATGCCTTGCTTGTATGCTCATCCCTAGTCACTGACTTTGGAATTTGCACCATAATGTTTAAGTGAAGATGCTGTAAATAGGTTCAGATTTTACTGTATATGGACTTGGGGTGTTACAGTAGCCTTATTCACCTTTTTAATAAAAATACACACAAAAACAAGACAGAAATGGCTTTTCTTACCCAGATTGTGTACATAGAGCAATGTTGGTTTTTTATAAAGTCTAAGCAAGATGTTTTGTATAAAATCTGAATTTTGCAGTGTATTTAGCTACAGCTTGTTTAACGGCAGTGCCATCCCCCTTTGCACTGTAATGAGGAAAAAAATGGTATAAAAGGTTGCCAAATTGCTGCATATTTGTGCCGTAATTATGTACCATGAATATTTATTTAAAATTTCGTTGTCCAATTTGTAAGTAACACAGTATTATGCTTGAGTTATACATATTTTTTTCTTTCTTTGTTTTATTTGAATAGCCCGTCATAGGTTTTCAATCTGCTTTAGTTCCACGTTGCGATTAGCCCCCGAAAATGCAATCTGTGAAGTCATATTCCATGTCTGTTTCCAACTGAATTTGTTCTTAAAAAAATAAAATATTTTTTTCCTATGGAATAAGTGCCTTCCAAGCATTTTCCTTCTACTCTCTTTTCATTTCTCTTTTTTGTTTGTTTTTTTAATTGGCCTCCTGCTCCTCCGGGCAGGCCCGCCAGCCCCCCCCCCACCGGGCTCCCCAGAAACAGCAGAAGGCCCACTTCTCAGACGACCCTCAAGTGTTCTCAGTGTGACCCCTGAGCCGAAGCCGCGTGGCCCCCGACTTGCTGACGTGGGAGGCCGGGGCCGGGTTGGGTTGGGAGCCCCCCGGACTCCAGACCGATGCATTCGTCAGGTGCCACCCCCGCGGGCTGTAACCCCTGGTGAAGGGCCACGTCAGACCCAGAAGGACATGGCAGAGAGCAGGCCAGGCAGCCGGGATGCAGCTGAGCCGCAGACCAGAAGTCCAGGCGGGCTTCTGGGGCGGGGGCGCCTTCCCTGGCTGCTGGGGGCTCTGGGTCTGAGCCTTCCCTCTCCAGCAGTGGACGGGAGGGGGAGGGGAGCCTGGGGGCAGCAGCTGGCAGCCTGGGAAGCCCCAGAGCTCTCTTGACCTAAGGAGTCAGGTGGGGGGGGGGACAGGCAGGCCCCTCCCTCCCCAGCTGCCAGACCCGCAGCCCCCGTGCACGAAAGTTCCAGTGTTCCCAGCGTCGCTGGGCATTCTGGGGTCACGGGGCTTGGAAGCTCCCCCGGCACAGTCCTTGTACCAGAGAAATGGTCAGATCAGTGCCATCCGCATGCCACCAGTGT